GTTGCCGCCAGATCCTGAACACCTCGCAGATGCGTTTGCATACTTTGTCTTGAGGTGAATGCACGTAGCGTGACTCAGATACTCTTTTCAGCCTGCCCTTGGTTCAGCCATACCTCCACCATCCATCCAGCTCACGAACTTCACGTTTCGTCCGGCTCGTATCTCGTCCCACCTGTCCACCACTGCAGACATCGATGAAGAGATTCAACATCGGATCAGATGTTTATCTCAAGCCATTGGCAGACTCCGTGTACCTGTGTCAGCGTGGCTGAAATTATCTACAAAGTTGCACGTATATCGAACAATGGTCCTCCTACCCTGCGATATGGCAGCGAGACATGGGCACTATAGAGACACCTCAAGACACTTGAAAACTTTCACCAACGTAGTCTACGCACCATCCTCCGAGTTCGTTGGGAAGAGAAGAGAACAAATGCCAGTACGCTGACACCAACTGTAGGAGTGTCGAGGCAACCATTATCCACAAACAACTACGTTGGACTGGCCGTGTTATCTGCATGGACGACAGTAGACTGCCAAAGCAGATACTTTACAGTCACCTAACGAATAGTAAACGTACTGCTTGCGGGTAACTGAAAAGGTATAAGGATAATCTGAAGACAAACCCGAAAAAATGATAAATCGACCGCCAACTGGGAGACGATTACTCCACACCGTAACGCTTGGAGGATCACCACACAAGAAGGCGTCAATAGTTTCGAGTTCGCCCGACTGTATGCAAAGGCAGACAAGCGTCAACGCCGGAACGACGCTGCTCCCCTCCCACACTAGATGTAACCCTTCACACGTTCAGCATCTGTGGACGACCCAGCCGGTTCCGTATCGGCCTCTCGAGTCACCTTAAAGCTCACCAACGAAGGTGACATCCTCAATAACTGATCATTGTCTCATAGCTGGATGATCGTCGTACTCGATCCGAGTGCGGCATAGTGTGTGTGTGTGTGTGTGTGTGTGTGTGTGTGTGGGTTCCTGCTTGCTGGTTACTGTAATTCCCTGCAACATTCTTCTAGCCCCACCACCCCCCTTCTTAAAGTTTCCCAATACACAACCAACACCTTAGTACCTCAAAGACAGTAAATAAAGAATCATATAACACAATAAACAACGAACAAGATATAAACCCAACACTGTTAAGCCTTAAATCATACTGAATGGAAAAGTTGAAGTCAAAAATGAAAATAAACCTAACTTGCACAAAGGAGTTTTTCGATAGAGTGTTTCTCTTTGAAGGTTCCTGAAGCTTCTAAACTATAGAATGGAGGATGTGCAACTAGAGACACCTCGATGATAGATAAGACTCTGTTGAGGGTGGGGTGGGTTTGAGGTAGGGGAGCAAAGGAGATAGGAGCTGGGATGAAGAGCCGCCATATACCTCAGTTCCCAGCATGGCTTTCATCCAGCACATTGATAAAATATGTTGAGACACTTGCAGCTGTATCCTTCTGCTGCTGTTGTTCCCTCCTGCTGCTGTACCCCTGCACCTCCCTGCACCTCCTGCCGAACCCCTGCTGCTGTACCCTCCTGCTACTTTACCCTCCTGCTGCTGCACCCTCCCTGCTGTAACTCCTGCAGCTGTTGTTCTCTCCCTGCTTCTATACCCTCCTTCTGCTGCTGTACTCCTACTGCTGCTATACCCTCCTGCTGCTGCTGTACCCTCCTGCTGCTGCTGTACCCTCCTGCTGCTGCTGTCCCTCCCGGTTGCTGTACCCTCCTGCTGCTGTGCCCCTCCTGCTGCTGTACCCTTCTGCTGATCCACTGTACTCTCCTGCGGCTGTTGTTCCCTCCTGCTGCTGTACCCTCCTGCTGCTGTACCCTCCTGCTGTAACCCTCCTCCTGCTGTACCCTCCTGCTGCTGTACCCTCCTGCTGCTGCTGCACCTCCTGCTGCTGCTGTATTCCCTACTGTACCCTCCTGCTGCTGTTGTACCCCTCGTCCTCTTGCTGTACCCTGCTGCTGCTGTAGCCTCGTGTTGCTCTTGTGCTCCTGCTGCTGCTGTACCCTCGTGTTGTTGTACCCTCGTGCTTCTGCTGTACCCTCCTGCTACTGCTGTGCTCCTCTGTCCTCAGCGTACCCTCTTGCTACCGATGTACCCTCCTTCTGCTGCTGTACCCTCCTGCTGCTGCTATACCCTCCTGCTGCTGCTGTACCCTCCTGCTACTGCTGTACCCTCCTGCTGCTGCTGTCCCCTACTGCTGCTGTACCCTCCTGCTGCTGCTGCTGTACCCTCCTGCGGCTGTTGTTCCCTCCTGCTGCTGTACCCTCCTTCTGCTGCTGTACCCTCCTGCTGCTTCTGTACCCTCCTTCTGCTGCTGTACCTCCCTGCTGCTGCTATACTCTCCTACTGCTGCTGTACCCTCCTGCTGCTGCTGTACCCTCCTGCTGATGCTGTACCCTCCTGCTACTCCTGTACCCTCCTGCTGCTGTTGTAGCCTCCTGCTGTTCATGTACCCTCCTTCTGCTGCTGTACCCTCGTG